ACAGCCACCACTAACACCTGTCACCTCCCCACAGCCACCACTAACACCTATCATCTCCTCACAGCCACCACTAACACCTGTCACCTCCCCACAGCCACCACTAACACCTATCATCTCCTCACAGCCACCACTAACACCTGTCACCTCCTCGCAGCTATCACCTGACGGAGATTATGGCCACGGTAATCAATGAGTACACAGACTGGGTTCGGCCGGTGCGTCATCCCATCAGCACGAGGGACGAGACGCTGGCCCTCCTCTCTGACGCCCTGTACACCGCCCCCGTCATGCACACCGGCAACCTGCACGCCCTCGCCTCCTCCAAGACTTACCTCTATCTCTTCGACCACCAGACCAGAGGCGCCGACTACGAGCCAGTGAGAAAGCTTCCACACTCTTTTAGTCTGATAAGTGTGTTGACGCCATGTTGGGTTCATTTTACACCGCTTCTTTTATGTAAGGGCGTAGCTGAAGTATTTATCGTATTATCTAGTTCTAGGTAGTTAATCACATCTACTGGTTGTTAAATATTAAGTGGTTAACGTTGCTATTGCGAAAGGTTATCGTCCTGCTGGTTAAATTAGGTTAAGTATCGTCAAGTTATTAAATTTTCTCTTATCGTAGCGTTATCCTCGACCATATGAAGAGATTAAAGTTATTATTTTTCAGTATTATGGGAATTAGATTAAAATACCAATAAATAACAACTGAATTTCGTCTTTGGCTAAAAGTCGTTAATGTTCCGATACTGTAAACTTTACCCCTTCAAAAAGAACAAAATAAAATGATCAGAGTAGGATTTATACTACATTTTTTTATATAAATCTGTTAAGTCTGCACAACATTTTATTGTACATATAATAGTGTATCGTAACCATTCCCTTGCCTTGGGTGTGAGCCGCGTGATACAGGACTCCCACACTATCACTCACCAGTACCTCCTCCCCGCGTATATAGTAGTTGTCGCCCACGGTAGGTCGTTCACCTAATGGAAAATAAACTTCCATTCTTTTAGGGAGAAACGCAAGATACTGTAAATATAGGTACGAAAACCTGGGATATTACTATCTCTCTCCTCAAATATTTTCTTTGTATAATGGAGGATTTATAATATTTATTTCGGCCTAATCTATAATGATAAACAAAGTTCACCAGCTGTAAACAAACCACATACAGTACATGACCCGCGAGTAAACAAGTGTGAAGGGAATTTGGTCCACAACTGTATACTGAAATCCATTAATGTGTACAAATTGTCTCCATAAATGTAAGTCTGACTGGTGTATGTGTGTATGTACTGTACATAACACTTACAGTACACCATATAAACCTTTGGTGCCCCTCGCTGTCCTCAAAGGTTGCCGCTTGTTCTGTGTCCAGTGTCGAGGACGTTTCCACTCAGGTTCGCACGGCATGAAGCCCCTGAGTGAACATGTAAGGATGCATCTAACTGGCTCACTGAAACTAGACAAAAATTACCTCCAAAGGGACATTAAACTACACTAAGACTTTACCTGTGTTAACTTCTTTCCTTTGGCATTCATTAGGAGATGGAATTAATTGACAGAATCCTTCTAAACATTTTAGTTATGGTTGAATGTAAGAGAAATAGGTATCCCATAACTATGTCATCGTATGCTTACCGCAATGCATTATGGGTAGAGTTAAGGTCGGGTCGGCCATCTCTGTTTACGAGGTCTGCATAACCTAGCTGCAGTTATTTTCAGTTAAAATGCCGAAAGTGAATGCTATGTGCCGAATTGTGTTTCAACGATAAAGCGAGCACTTTCTTTTAAGTTTTTATCAGCGACCAGCCGGTGATAAGAAAACAAAACTTAAGAGAAGTCTGATCAGAGCAAGAGTCACCCAGACACTGTGCACCCAGACAGTGGAGTGAGTGTAATAGTGTTTTCAGAGGTTATATTGTGTTTGTTGGTATTATAATTGTTTCTAAATGTAAAGAGGAAAAATCATTCATACTTTATTTGGGTGTTAAGTGTCTGCACGAACTGATAAACAAACTACTAAACGGTAAGTTACAGCCTCAGGGTACAGTATAACACTACACTGCCACCTGTCATCACTGTGGTGTGTTAGGGATGTGTTGACATATTTGTTCGGCGAGCGAGGGTTCGTATTTACGGTGACTTGACCTTCTATCAAACAGTTTTTCGATTTGGATTCCCCATCATTTTAGGTCATCAATTTCGTTGTCTTCAATCACGGAACAGTTTGAAGTCGTACTTCTATCACCACTTTCAAATAAAGTAACACGCAACTCCGCCATAACGACCCGGATTTTCTCCACAATACATTTTGGTCAACAAACGATGACGCCTTATTGGCACTATTGTTGCTGGATGTACTGTAATGTCAACTAGGTATGGCATCCTTTCATCCTCATTTACGAGAAATATTCAACGAACGACCCTTAGGGAGAGTACTATTTGTATTTCTTAGATATGAAAGACATTGTTACTACGAGGTTATAAAATAGTTCAGTTCAGGACCCCAGCACACGCCTGTACCGGATCTCATAACTTTGTGAACACGACAGTGCACAGACATGAACACTTTAATGCCTTGCAAATATTCCTTTCCAGCGCTTTATATATAAACATGTGGACTGTGTTAAAATGTTATTTGTTACAATCTCGACGCATGAATATTAGTAAGAGAGAGAAAGTGTTGGTAGGATTCTGTCTCTCTTCCTTCTGCTGGTGTTTTTTGTGTGTGTGACAGTGTGTGTGTTGAACGCCTCTCGCTGGAGAATTATTTCCATGAATAATTTTAACTTTTTGGGAAAGTTGACTTACATGTTTGCACTGTTCTTTTTTAAATTAATTCGTAAAACATTAAAACCGTCAGCTGAGGGAGAGAATGGTGGGTGACCTCACACACATTCCAGATTCCAGATTTTAAATACGACAGACACATAGTTGTCAAGGTGTGTATTAGACCGTATCCCCTTTGCATTGTAATTCCCTTTTGCTCAACATATTTTTTCAATGATGTCTGATGTCACATTTCCTAATTAATCTGCCTCTGATTAGTTAAGACATAAACACCATAACTCATATAGTATCGTCTCCCTTATGAACCATTGTCAATAAACGTTTTCGTCATTTATGAATTCTGTGCATTCGTACGTATCTAAATATTCAGCTTTTGAGCATCAGCCTGTCCAGATTGCCAGTCTGTGCCTCCCCCATCTCTTATAGTGTGTCTCATCTTACCCTGTACGTGTTGCCTCAGTAGTTGGCACATGGACAAAATCATGCCTAAGGAAAATACTGCCAGACAATTTCCAACTAGATAAAGTTCAAATTCTAGGGTAATATTGATTGAAGTGTCCCATTTTTTCTAAATTTCTATAGACTGTTAGATTCATTGTTGTTAGATTAGGCTAAGTTAGTTAAATCAGATTAGTTTAAGTTAGGATGGATTAGGTTAGGTTAAATTCAGTGAGGATATATTAAGATTTTGTTTGTTGATCAGGTTAATATAAGTTAGGATGGGTTAGATTTGTATGTGTTTAGTGGTGGTACAAGTTGGTGAAGGACATGTTGTGTGCCCGCAGCAACGACTGGGGTGTGTCCACGGGGAGGAGCTGCCCTACATGTGGGGGGCGCCGCTGGTGGAGACCCTTGCCCACTTCCCCACCAATTACACCCAGCAGGAGGTCAAGCTCGCGGAGGCGATGCTCACCTACTGGACCAACTTCGCCAGGACCGGGTATGTCTCCTTTGGTTTTTGCCTGCGTTTTTCCTACCCAGTTTATGCCGCTACTGACCTGACTGATATTTTTTCCACTTTCCAAGGAGTGTATTGTATATTTTTCATCTACGGGTGTGGCTTGTATATTTATGTACCAGAGTCAAGATTCTAAAAGGTTCACATTTTATTGTTTCGTCTCGCGGCATTTAAAGGAATCGACTTAGTCACTCTGTCCTAGGTTCTTGAAAGTTTCGCAGCAGCATGGCCTGTACTGCACTCGATCGCCTTCACTTCCCCAACTTATAACAGGATTTTAATGAGATTCTTCCTCAATTATAATTCATCTTGGAACAATTAGGAGTAGGAATTAACATACATAATACGTGTATATAAGAATATATGCTAATTTGTCTCCTAACTAACAGCAAGTGAACAAATCTCGACAAGCTAGAGGCAGTGTATGTAACCTACTAACCTTGGTGTATTTATATAGTGAATTTTTTTGTGCTTTATGAGTCAGTCAGTCAGTTTTGTATATCCTGACAGTTACGAGTAATATTCAAGATACAAACCTGTCAAAACTGTGTTGCCCGACTGTGCTCCATGAGGTGTCAGTAGGTTTTTTTTTGTGTGTGTGTAGAGAAAGGAGGGGTGAAAGAAGATTAGAGGTGGGGGAAGGAAGTTATAGTTCGGAAACTGAAGAAATTTAGGAGGAGGTAAGAGAGGGCGGGTTGACCGCCGAGCTAAGCTAATAGTGTGTTAGGGTTGTGTCATGGGTTAGTTACTGTTTGTCGGTAGAGGCACTAGACATCCTACCCTGTCCCATATATGGATGTTTTAAGGGCCTCATTTCATATTCCGCCGACCCTACTGGCGGATGCCAAATCGGGGATGGTAATGGACCTTTTGAGATTTGGTAACTTTTTGGAAACCATGTATGGTTGTTGTCGTTATCTGGTGGAAGTCTTTGAAGGAGTTTTTGCTCTGATTGTTCTATCTTTTGCCAGATTCTGCTGACCAGGGTGTGCAGCTGCTGGTTGATGGGTTTCATTCTCAGGTCTCTATGTATCTCGGCTGTGGTTCTGGTGAAGGGGTATCTTTCTCCTGTGACGAATCTTATGGCTTCATTTTGGACCACCTGTAATTTTAATATTTGAGTGGTGCTCATAGTATGAAGAGGTACTGCTGGGTAGGTTAATATCGGTGTGATAAATGATGTCACCAGGCGGAGTTGCATTTTCTCAGGAAGCGCTTTAAAGCGGTATAATTTTCTCAGCTCTCTTCTTGCCTTTTTCTTCCTGGTGTGGACATGGTGGGAGTAACCTGTCGAGGATATATGCAGGCCCAGGAGGGTGCCTCTGCTTTTGTATTCTATCTGGGCAGTATTGGTTACTAATGGATGGGTGTTTTCCTTCTGCATAAGGGGATCACTGTGAATTTCGGGAGACTGGTTTGGATTTTTCATTGTTTTTCATAGTTATTTACCCTTTCTAATTCCCGCCTGGTGTTGTCGACCTGTAACGCTCGCGATTTTCCTTGATGTGTTGTTATTTGAGTGATGTCGTCTGCATACATAATATCTTCGTTACCTATTCTAGTGGGAGGCGGGGTGTCACTTGTGTAGATAATATATAGGGTGGGAGAGAGGACGCTTCCCTGAGGGACTCCACTCATGAGTGGGAAGGTCTCTCCTGTGTGTTGTCCTACCCTCAGTCTGGCATTTCTGCCGTCAAGAAAGTTGCAAAGCAACTTTTCAATGTTGGTGGGAAGTCCGAGTTGGAGGATCTTATATTTTAGACAGTCGTGCCAGACTTTGTCAAATGCCTTCGCTACATCCCGGAGAGTTAGATTACAATGTCTACCACTCGCCGCGGCTCTGGCTATGTTTACACATGCCAGGGCTATCGCTGTTGTGGTGGACTTCCCTTTCCTGAACCCGAATTGTCTGCAGTTGACTCTGTTGTTTCCTGGTGATTTCTCAGACGGTTATTGATGATTTTTTCTAGGATTTTTCCAGGTACTTCGAGGAGGGAGATCGGTCTGTAGTTTGTGGGATGGCGGGGTTCTTTCCTTGTTTTGGTGTTAGGGTAATAATGGCCTCTTTGAATTTAGTTGGGAAGTAACCCGAGGCCAGGCAAGCGTTCATTGTGGTTCTCTGTCTCTCCATGGCCGGGTTGTCTATGTGGCTGAGGATCTCCTTGGTGATGCCTGAATAACCAGAGACTTTATTTTTGGTATTGGAGATGGCTCTGTTGAGTTCTTCCGAGGTGATTGGTTTGGACAATGGGCTGTCCACTCTCAGATCCTCCCGTATGATTTCAGGAGAAGGCTGAGTGCGGTGTGTCTGGCCCCGGAGTTCATCAAGGGCGAGCTCCTCGTGGGTACCATCAAATCCCCTATTCTCTTCATTTATGATTCGGAAGATGTTCCTCCATATGTCCCTGAAGGTTATGGAGGGTGTCAGTGTAATGGGGAGGAGGGGGAGGGTGTATGGGGTTTATTTATTTTACTGTTTCTTTTATCTATAGCTGTTTAAGAGAGATTAGTCTAGTTATATATAAATAATTTAGTTTTCTAAGTCCTTTTGTCTATGTGTATCTATCTTATATGTCTTTGCTTATATTTTCTAAGTTAATATTCTTCTATACTTTTCTATTTTCTATTTTCTTTTATTATTTATGTTTGTGTTTTCTATTTTAATACCTTTTCTAAGTCTTTATTTCAGTGTGCTTGTTTTAGCTGTGGTATGATATCAAACTACCTCACTTGTTAACACTTGCCTGAATGAGTGTAGGTGAGTCGCTGGTACCTTTGATGCAGCTGAGTGAGATATCAGGTAATCTCACTGCATGTCACCTTTGATACAGTCGTAGATTGGTTGATAGTTGAAATCGTCACAGCTGTCCTGGGTTGTACTTGTAATTATCTTAGCTTGTAAGTTAAACAAGACACACAGGTACTGTTCTCTTCACTCGTTGTTCCTTGGTTTAATGTAAACACACGTGGTGATTTTCTAGTTATATTGGGTTGTAATGTCTGTACAATTATTTGGTATTGACAGACTAATGAGCATTAGCTATTAACTTGTAATTGACTGATATATTTAGAGAGAGGCACAGCCCGGAGAGCTGGTCTCACGACACGACTTTAAGGCATCGTGCCGGGCTGTGAACTGGTGAGAACTGGGCTGAACTCTCTTAAATCTGGTGCCTGGTGGTTGGAGAGTAACCACACTTCAACACGGCCATTAACTAAACAGCCTACCCACACACTAAGGGTTGAGTCTGTAGTTTTATGGGCTATCCACCCTAGGAGGTGTGACAGAACAAATGCTTAATGTAACTCTATGCTCAATAGTCTGGGTGATCGAATGTATATATTGAATATATGTCCTTAACCCATATTTATATAATATTAATGTGACAGAGGGTAATACATACTTATTTATTTAATTTCGGATTATTTCTTTCTCTTAATTTTTTATCATGGCCCAGTTATATTCTATACCATGGATTAACCTGGGAAAACCCTGTCATTCTTACCATACTTACAACGATAGCGTGCCACCACCCAGACTTTTATTAGAATATAGCTGATATCATCAACTGTTAGGTACTGTGGTAGACTCGAGCTTTTGGCACGTGAGTTACAGTAGGTATTTTCTGAGAACCAATTGTTAGAAGCGGTGATACTCGTAGTTTTCTAAATCCACATTTATTAGATTAAGAGTGAATAAGATGTCAATTTAACACACTCGGATAAGACTAGACCCTAAGGTCTTGCTTTACAATTAACAAAATAGACCTTCAATTATTTGTTAAAACATTAAATAACTGTTGTATTATTTCTTTGACAAATAAGATGATTATTTTACACACTTGTCAACAACACATAACCTATCACTTATAAACTCATGTTATTTCGGAATGAGAAACATGGAACATTTACTATAACTTAGTTGTTAGTACATATGAATGATGTACTCGCAACCCACATAACAAACGTCATTACTTCAGGGGAGGTTGGGGAGAGTGTCAGCAAACTGGTATATCCTACCTAACCTTACTTAAACCTAACCTAACCTTACTTAAACCTAACCTAACCTTACTTAAACCTAACCTAACCAAACAACACCCAAACCTCCCTGCCTCGACCTAACGTAACCAAACCTAGGCTTCTGAACTTGAATTTGGTTGTTACGAGTTCTTTGGTGTCACATTAAAAGGCATTGTAGTAATCACTGACCAGTTAATTTAAAAACGTAATATCATAACTTCCCTCCAAACCCAGACTAAGTACCGGGCTCTAACCATCAGCAAGTCTTTCATAAAAAAACAAAAAAAGATAGAAAAATATAATTATTTAAGTTTCCCCATTATCCCTCCAGCCTAAGTTTTCTTTTTTAATCTTACATTAATTTCCTATTAGACTCGTCACCAAGCCTTCCCTTCTCATCCCCAACGTGGTAGCGGATGTTGGTGACGCAAGAATCTAATTTTATTTATTTATTTTACTATTTTTTTTTTTTAGCTGGAATGTGAAATACCCCGCGAGTTAGTTAAGACATATTAGTAAACCAAAGCTAGTTAATCAGAGTAAAGTGTAAAACTTCATTTCGGAATATTTTTATGATAGTCGTTGGTAAATTTCACTTCATTTTGCAAAATTTTCCAGGAATCCAAATGAGCCGATTGACCAGCATCATGACCGAGGCCTGGAGAAAAACAGGTTCAGGGCGCTGGAATGGCCACTCTATGATGGCATGCACCGCAAATACATCGAAATTGGTAAGTTCCTTTACACACACGTTCCCTCAGCCAACCTTCGGAGTATCACAAACTGTTAAAAGTCCAAAACAGTTTTCTGAAGTCAAATTGAAATGTGAAGACGGACTAGACCAACAGTAAAAGCTTTAATTAACCTGTATGTGTAATTTGTAGTTTCATATAACAGTGTTTTTTTACGGAAATGTGGATAAAAACAATATTCATTACATATGAGCTTAGTTCAAATGTGTTAATTATTGGTTTTAGATTTATCTTTTCCCAATTGCAATATAATACTTTGGTATGAAACTCCAATTTGCATAAACAAGTAGTAATATATACTGTGTATCCAAGGAAGAAACACTAGAATAAATTCCTCAACGTTCTCCTGTTGGTTTAGTTAGTTTTCGGATCTCAGGAGCAACAGTTCGCTGTAATGTTGGTAAACGTAGAGGTTCCACGGAGCAGTTATCCTTTTGAAGAGTTCTATTATGGGCGAAGTTGAGGGTAGGCACAGACTGGGGTGGATGATTGAAATTAAAAATTGGGCCCCCAGAGAGATACAAAATCTTAGAGGATTGGTAAAAACAACCAGAGAACGTTTACAGTGGAGGCCTGTGGTCACCGACCCTCAGATATGAGGACGGTGCAGTACAGTCTCTGATTGATTGGTTGATTATGAAGGACTGGGCACGGTTTCTACTCTCTCTCTCTCTCTCTCTCTCTCTCTCTCTCTCTCTCTCTCTCCTGCACACAAGACTATAAACACCCCGAGATATCAAGAGTGACCCTAAAACCTTGTCAATCAGGCACTATTAGGTTTCACAGTAGCCGGTGGTTCAGCTGGAGTCATGGAAATTGTAAAAAAATATTTTATTTTAATCCTCGCCGACTGTGGTCCTCATAAAAGTTAACAACGATTCATCATGTTCATAGACAATGTAGGTATGCAATGTGCAGTACAGTGCAAGAATACAGACAATGTACAGAAACAGTGCAGTTGTGCAATGTACATAAATAGTGCAGATACAGTTTACAAACAATGCACATAGACAGTTCAGATTCATACTCTATTAGTGCAGGTATAAAAAAATGTACATGGACAGTGCTGGTATATGAAAAAAAATAAAAATAAAATATATATATATATATATATATATATATATATATATATATATATATATATATATATATATATATATATATATATATATATATATATATATATATATATATATATAGTGCAGGTATGCGAACTACATAGACATTCCAGGTATATAATGTAACATTGAAAGTGCAGGTGTACATTATAAATAGACAGGAGCCTTTAGGTTTACAATATACTGTATATAGTGAAGGTATAAAATGTACTTAGACATTGTAGGCATACAGTGAACATAGACAGTGCAGGTATACAAACAGTAAACATACAGTAGACAGTGTAGGTATACAAACAGTAGACATACAGTAGGGAGTGCAGGTATACAAACAGTGGACATACAGTAGGGAGTGTAGGTATACAAACAGTGGACATACAGTAGGGAGTGTAGGTATACAAACAGTAGACATACAGTAGGGAGTGCAGGTATACAAACAGTGGACATACAGTAGGGAGTGTAGGTATACAAACAGTGGACATACAGTAGGGAGTGCAGGTATACAAACAGTGGACATACAGTAGGGAGTGTAGGTATACAAACAGTAGACATACAGTAGGGAGTGTAGGTATACAAACAGTAGACATACAGTAGGGAGTGTAGGTATACAAACAGTGGACATACAGTAGACAGTGTAGGTATACAAACAGTGGACATACAGTAGGGAGTGTAGGTATACAAACAGTGGACATACAGTAGACAGTGTGGGTATACAAACAGGACATACAAGGAGTGTGGGTATACAAACAGTGGACATACAGTAGACAGTTAGGTATACAAACAGTGGACATACAGTGAACAGTGTAGGTAACAAACAGTGGACATACAGTAGACAGTGTAGGTATACAAACAGTGGACATACAGTAGACAGTGTAGGTATACAAACAGTGGACATACAGTAGGGAGTGTAGGTATACAAACAGTGGACATACAGTAGACAGTGTAGGTATACAAACAGTGGACATACAGTAGACAGTGTAGGTATACAAACAGTGGACATACAGTAGACAGTGTAGGTATACAAACAGTGGACATACAGTAGACAGTGTAGGTATACAAACAGTGGACATACAGTAGGAGTGTGGGTATACAAACAGTGGACATACAGTAGACAGTGTAGGTATACAAACAGTGGACATACAGTAGGGAGTGTAGGTATACAAACAGTGGACATACAGTAGACAGTGTAGGTATACAAACAGTGGACATACAGTAGGAGTGTAGGTATACAAACAGTGGACATACAGTAGACAGTGTAGGTATACATACAGTGGACATACAGTGAGAGTGTAGGTATACAAACAGTGGACATACAGTGAACGTGTGGTATACAAACAGTGGACATACAGTAGGGAGTGTAGGTATACAAACAGTAACATAGGGATGTAGGTATACAAACAGTGGACATACAGTAGACAGTGTGCAGACATACAGTGGACATACAGTAAGGAGTGTAGGTATACAAACAGTGGACATACAGTAGACAGTGTAGGTATACAAACAGTGGACATACAGTAGACAGTGTAGGTATACAAACAGTGGACATACAGTAGAGAGTTAGGTATACATACAGTGGACATACAGTACAGTGTAGGTATACAAACAGTGGACATACAGTAGACAGTGTAGGTATACATACAGTGGACATACAGTAGGGAGTGTAGGTATACAAACAGTGGACATACAGTAGACAGTGTAGGTATACAACAGTGGACATGATAAACAGTGTAGGTATACAAACAGTGGACATACAGTAAACAGTGTAGGTATACATACAGTGGACATACAGTGGGAGTGTGGTATACAAACAGTGGACATACAGTAGACAGTGTGGTATACAAACAGTGGACATACAGTGAACAGTGTAGGTATACACAATTGGACTACGAGAGAGTGTAGGTATACAAACAGTGGACTACAATGTAGACAGTGTAGGTATACATACAGTGGACATACAGTAGACAGTGTAGGTATACATACAGTGGACATACAGAAAGGAGTGTAGGTATACAAACAGTGGACATACAGTAGACGTGGTGCATCACAGTGGATACAGTAGAGAGTGTAGGTCTAAAACAGTGGACATACAGTAGACAGTGTAGGTATACAAACAGTGGACATACAGTAGGGAGTGTGGGTATACAAACAGTGGACATACAGTAGCAGTGTAGGTATACAAACAGTGGACATACAGTAGGTGTAGGTATACAAACAGTGGACATACAGTAGACAGTGTGGTATACAAACAGTGACAGGAGTGTGTATACAACAGTGGACATACAGTAGACAGTGTGGGTATACATACAGTGGACATACAGTGACATGTGGTATACAACAGTGGACAATAAAGGTGTGGGTATACAAACAGTGGACATACAGTAGACAGTGTAGGTATACATACAGTGGACATACAGTAGGGAGTGTAGGTATACAAATTGGACATACAGTAGACAGTGTAGTATACATACAGTGGACATACAGTAGACAGTGTAGGTATACAAACAGTGGACATACAGTAGACAGTGGCAGTATACATACAGTGTGGACATACAGTAGGATGTAGGTATACAAACAGTGGACATACAGTAGACAGTGTAGGTATACAAACAGTGGACATACAGTAGGGAATTAGTGAGGTATACAAACAGTGGACATACAGTAGACAGTGTAGGTATACATACAGTGGACATACAGTAGGGAGTGTAGGTATACAACAGTGGACATAGTAGACAGTGTAGGTATACATACAGTGGACATACAGTAGGAGTGTAGGTATACAAACAGTGGACATACAGTAGACAGTGTAGGTATACAAACAGTGGACATACAGTGGGGTGGGTATACAAACAGTGGACATACAGTAGACAGTGTAGGTATAACAGTGGACATAAGTGTGGATATACAACAGTGCATACAGTAGACAGTGTAGGTATACAAACAGTGGACATGCAGTAGACAGTGTGAAGCATACACAATGTGGACATACAGTGGCAGTGTAGGTATACAAACAGTGGACTACAGTAGACAGTGTAGGTATACAAACAGTGGACATACAGTAGACAGTGTAGGTATACAAACAGTGGACATACAGTAGGAGTGTAGGTATACAAACAGTGGACATACAGTAGACAGTGTAGGTATACACAGTACAGTAGACAGTGTAGGTATACAAACAGTGGACATACAGTAGACAGTGTAGGTATAAAACAAGTGGACATACAGTAGACAGTGTAGGTATACAAACAGTGGACATACAGTAGACAGTGTAGGTATACAAACAGTGGACATACAGTAGGGTGTGTGAAGTATACAAACAGTGGACATACAGTAGACAGTGTAGGTATACAAACAGTGGACGTATACAGTAGACAGTGTGGTATACAAACAGTGGACATACAGTAGACGTGTGGTATACAAACAGTGGACATACAGTGGACAGGTGTAGGTATACAAACAGTGGACATTGAACAGTGTAGGTATACAAACAGTGGACATACAGTAGACAGTGTAGGTATAAAAACAGTGGACATACAGTAGACAGATGTGGGTATACAAACAGTGGACATACAGTAGACAGTGTAGGTATACAAACAGTGGACATACAGTAGACAGGGTATAAAACAGTGACATACAGTAGACAGTGTAGGGTTATACAAACAGTGACATACAGGGTGTAGGTATACAAACAGTGGACATACAGTAGGGAGTGTAGGTATACAAACAGTGGACATACAGAGAGGTATACAAACAGTGGACATACAGTAGACAGTGTAATGTATACAAACAGTGGACATGCAGTAGACAGGTATACAAACAGTGGACATACAGTAGACAGGTGCAGGTATACAAACAGTGATACAGTAG